CTCTCGCTCGCGGACTCAGAGGTCTGTCAGCCGCTCGGTCGTCTAGCACGAAACCCCTAAATTACTCTGTCTCTCTCTCCCGGTCCCTCCCTCTCCCAGATATTACCAAGCCCTACCTCTCGTAGGTGGAGCTCAACGCACCAAGCTGGCGGTTGGATCGCGCAGTCTGTCCGGACCATGTTCCGCTCGAGGCACTCGAGGTGCTCCTTGGGTTTTGGCGCTCACTCTCGGTCAAAGCCGGGGAAAGGTCTGAAGACGATACTGGTTCATCGCTAATTAATTACAGAAGAAGGGTTTATAAAGGGTGTGGGGTCTTCCCGGAACCTCTACAAGGAAGTCATAGTTTTAGGCGATTTTGGGCCCCTTGAAGTGAATTTAGGGGGATCATTCTTGACTGTTGACTGCCAATAGCACTTTGAAATTAGGTGTTGGTCACCCTTGTTGACAACAGTCAATAGTTTGGGTTGGGTGATTGGGGACTGTGAGGCATTAGAGGTGTTGGTTCTCGAGGTCCGAGGTGACCTGTGGGGTCCATTGTGGGGGTTTGGGGCGTGTCTGATCTGGCGGTTCCGGCAGAGAGTTCAGTTCTTGACTTGTGGGCATCGTGTGTAAGCTTGGAGAAACTAGGTTTCCGAGTGGTAGTGGTAGTGGTGGTAGTCGTCGTCGTCATCGTCGTCGTAGTAGTCGTCGTCGTAGTCGCAGTCGCAGTCGTAGTAGCTGTCGTCGTTGTAGTAGCAGCAGCAGGAGAAAGACTAGCATCTTGAGTTTGTTGTTGTCACTATAATCATTACTGATAAGCCTATTGTTGCTTTCTGTTGTCGTCGTAGTCTTACTCGTACTTTGTTGGTTTTTGTTTATATTGGCATCAGTAGTAGCCCTTACTTCGAGGCCCCGAGCCGAGACTGCCTCCCTGCCTCTCTCCCGGTCCACGCTTCAAGCATCCAGAGTCACTGGGTTGGCATGGTAAAGCCATGCACAACTGCCAGCCCCAAACCCTAAACATCAATCACGTGGGCATAGGCTTGAGGAGTTGGTGTGCCACCTCAGTCCGAATAAAACGCCGTTTGATCAGGGAAACTTGGGCGCACCACCCTTGCAAGGAGGCACTAAGAATTACTACTTATCTGAAGTAGCTCTTCAGTTCTTTTTTCCAGCCCCATCTGGCGGATCTGCTTCGGAGTAGGATCCTCTGTTTAGAACCCAATCACTGCGGTAGCGAAGGCCAACGCAATCGCGAAAGTTGCCTTGATGGCACCTGCACCGCTGTGCGCCGAGCATGCCTTCACGATATCCTTGCCGAGGCAAGCCTTCCCGTCCCACGCGCACTTGTCAAGCTTGGTGCAGTTTTCTTGAAACTTCTGGAAGACACAGGACTCCTTGTTCGTCGCGGACTAGGAATCACTGGTTCCACAGGTGGCATAGGAGAAGTACACGGGCTTGCCATTCACCATGCCGCTGGGCAGGTAAGACGAGGTCTTCGGCGGCACGTCCAAATCGCACTCGCAGGGGTCCACATAGCACCATTCTTGCTTGCACCAGCCTGCTGGCTTATCACCGGCACAATCAGGGTGCCTCTTGGCATCCCAAGATTCGCAGGTGGCTCCGGTATCTGCAGGATACTTGAGCTCCTTCTTATCAATGGTGACGTTGACGGTTCCGGGGGTGCCATCGTAGCCAACGCAGCGGCAGCTCTTCTTGCCCCACTTCTTCTCATCCACTTTCTTCTCGCAAACGCCAGTGGCCTCCTGCTTCTGCTTCTTAGTCTCAGCATCCATCCAGTAGTCCTTGCCGCCGCAAGTAACGTAGGAATACCACAGGCCTTTTCCCTGGTAGCTGGCATCTGGCAAGTAGCTGTTTGCCAGCGTGGGCGGCACGTCCAAGTCGCAGTTGCCTGGGTCCCTTTTCGGAAGGACCGAAAAATGCGATCCTGTTTCCGGCTCCTTTCATAAACATTTGCAGACCCAAATGACAGGAAGTAAAGAGGATTTCGAAGATCGACCCAAGTTGCAGGGATCCACGAAGCAGTAGGGCTCCGCGCACCATCCCTTGTCGGCGCCTGGATCCTGACCTGAGGTTAACTCTGTCATGAGGTACCACTAGACATGATCAAGTGGAGTCTGCAAGCGTACAATAAATAAGTAAATACATACATATATATATATACATACATACATACATACATACATATACACATATATGTATACACATACACGCACCCAGACGGAGACCGAGACATAGAGGGACAGAAAGACAGACGGAGACACAGGCAGACAGCCAGCCAGCCAGGCAGGCAGGCAGGCAGGCAGGCAGGCAAACACTGACAGACATCAGTATGTAACACAATGTATACGTATGCATGTATGTATGTATGTATGTCTGTATGTATGTATGTATGTATGTCTGTCTGTATGTATGTATGTATGTATGTATGTATGTATGTAACTGTAAGGGGTTATGCAGCTAAAGTACGTTATACACGTTTGCATGAAAGCATATCGGGTTCACATACTCAGAGCAACAACCAAGTGACCTTCCATGCAGTAGGCGCCGTTGCGCTTGTTGTCCCAAGCGGCGCAGCGCGCGCCGAAGTCGGCGGGGAAGTCTGCCGTCCTGTTTTTCCTGGGTTCTGGTCCATGCATTCCAGAATTGGGAAGATTCTTTTAACTTTACTGTGATAGTCGATTTACACGTAAAACACAAAGTACCTTGAGAAGAACCCACCAACATGCCCCTTCACAACCGAAAAGAACATCATATCATTTATTCAATACCACGACGCTTTACATCTAACCTATGGTATACCAATACGAAGTACCAATATGGGGCATACTTACAAACCAGCCTAATTGAAATTGCTCCTACATACTCCTAACATAGAGAACCTGCTTCGTACTGTGCATGTATACCTCGGACACCTCCGCCGTAAACCCTTTTGCATCCAGGACTCTGTTCGCCAGCCGTAAACCCTAAACCCTTAAACCCTAAACCCTAAACCCCCAAACCCTAAACCCCTAAGGACTTCGACCCGACCAAGTCGGAGAAGGCCGCCGAGCCGCCCAAATTCCCACCCGGCCTGCTAGGCCGCACCCACCCGAACCTAGGGTGCCTGGACCCAGAACTGTACCCGGCAGCGAGGCACACCTTTACTGGATGGACAATGGGTGGTGCC